CGTAGAAGGATTCATTAATCGAGGGATTGCTCGTTAACCGAAGTGAATCTTATGGAAGGTAATTGCTAATCGAGGCGCCAGTTAACCGAGGATCACTGTATCTTCAGATTTTCGACTTTACTTAATCAATTCAACTTCACTTACTCGGATTTGGTCCCAACCCCATCATAAGTCCAGGAGTGGCAAGGGTTTTCTCAGCTGAATAAAATTGTCGGGCATTAATTTGAATAACATTCCAAGTTGCACTGTTGCCCTAAAGGGTTGACCACAACAATAATAAGGGTCATTGATAAGACTCATTTTTAAGTAGACTTAAAATTTAACTTACTTATAAGCATTTTCTTTTTAAGTAAATGAGCCTTAAGAGCAAGAGCAATGTTCTCCATACTATTACTGTATATCTAAATCTTGACTTCTTTTGCTTAATTTAATGGTTTTACAGAATGAATGGATCCCACTCAGTTTACAACAAAGGCTTTAACACGATAAATTTTTTTTGAAAAAGTCAACTTAAATTTCACATTTTAAGTATACTATTGCTTCTGAAGAATGCCAATTCCATCAGGAACAATAAACAACCTCTAAACTTGCATGATACAGTACCTGTGTGTTGAAATAAGTAATTTCTGGAGATAAGATTGGTGTACATACATGTTAGAGTACAAGTGTACATCAGTTGTTCTGCTAACTTCATGTGGTGTTTTGCATTCCATAATGAACACCAAGCAAGAGTTCCTGGCAGGTAACAGGTCAGCTCATCCATCTTGTTGACAAAGTTTTTGCTACTGCCATGAAGTTCTCAAAGAAAAGCAGATTACTGGGTTCTGTCCTTCCTGCTAAGTGGTGCTCCATCCCAGATACACTTTCATTGTAGTCATCTCTCAAACTGAGAAAATAAAATAAATAAATTATATATATATATATATATATATATATATATATATATATATATATATATATATATATATATATATATATATATATATATATATATATATATATATATATATATATATATATATATATATATATATATATATATATATATATGTTGTTTTGTGTTGGTGTGGGTGTGTTTTTTTTTTTTTTTTTTTTTTTTTTTTTTTTTTTTTTTTTTTTATTAGATAAGGTTGTTTTTATTTATATATTTCATTATCGTTTTGAACATTAGTTTGTTCTTATCAACCTTCAGATGTATGATAGTTATTTTGTCCTGATATTGCCTCTGTCCATATCAGTTGCCCTTGAAGATGTCTTGAATAAAGACTAAAGCTAGTGCACTGCTTTTTCTATCTTCCCTTGTGATTTTATCAAGATATATATATATATATATATATATATATATATATATATATATATATATATATATATATATATATATATATATATATATATATATATATATATATATATATATATATATATATATATATATATATATATATATATATATATATATATATATATATATATATATATATATATACTGTATACACAGTATAATAAGTAGTCAGTTTACGTGGGTCAATTAAACCCGGGAAGTCCGCTGAAACGAAACGTAAACGAAATAACAGAACATATGATTAATTGAAATAGAGACTGGCCAACCCCCAGACTACCCTTCCGACACAATACGTGACGTTGTAGTAAAATAACACGATATACGCCCACGCCCCATGAAAAATATTTGAAAAACCCATTCAAATAAGGGACATCGAAACGAAGTGGCCTTAGAGCAGGCGAGTCACGCAGCATCAAGTAAGCATCGCATAGACATTATGTTATTTTATTAGCCTTTCTAACCTCTGTGTTTCATTAGTTGTGTACGTTATCAGTGAATTTAGTCAATATTGTACATTGTATACAGTGGTCCTCGGTTAACAAGGACCACTTCATTTATTTTCATTCATTTACAGGCACACACCATACTAAAAGAAACGAAAAAGAAATAAATGACCTTAGTGCAAAGCTGGAGTGTACATGTACTAAATTGATTACGGTACTAAAATTGTTATGTCTAGTGCAAATTATAGGTTGTTTATATTCAAATTAACCACTATCTTACAAGAATCCCAGCAATGTAAATTATATTCTCCCAGGTTATTTCACTGGCATTTTATAAGAGAGCTTAGTCACTTAAGGACTGATAAATAAACACACGTTAGACCTTGGGCCCCAACTGTCAAACGTACCACCACCTCCCGTCCCTCCCCCAAGCTCCTCGCCGCCCCCTCCCTTTCCCCATCTGCCCAGCCAGGTTTTAGGCTTACAGTTTTATCTTACAGTGAGTTCTGCTATAACGCTGTTTTGATAACGCAATTTGCTCTAACGCATTTATGAATTCGAACAATATTTGTATAACGCTTAACGCTTTGTTTGCTATAACGCGATTTTTGCTTAATATTTCTCCAATTTTGTGGTATTAACTGTGAATATGGTAAAGAAGAATATTCCAAAAGCGTTCTGATGATAGAATTCCGTGATTATCGAAAAGAAAGGATATAACACTTGAAGAGAAGCTCGATGTTATCAACCTCAAATCACCCTTCTCCCCCATCAAGTTACATTCATATTTTTTCGATGTAAAGTGTTAAATTTACTGTATGATTTCATTATTAGATATGAATGTAACATTTATTTAGACTGTGCTATCTCTTTGTGTTAGGCTAACTACTAAATTTTTTCGATTTTAGTAATCTGCACCTAACCCTATTTTCTCCATAAGCCCTGTTATTTCTATTACGCGATTTTCTATAACACGTATATTTTACAAGAACACAATTATCGCTAAGAGTAGCAGAACTACCTGTATATAATATCACAGACTAAAGTTAGAGAATATAATTTGCATTGCTGAACTTTGTAAGACAGCTTAATAATTTGAATATAAATGTCATATTTTGCACAAGAGATAAAATTAATCACCTGTATCACATTACAGAAGTGATTTAAGAGTAAGAGTGTATATGTAAGGATATAGTATTCCACAAACACGTAAGTATAAATACAATGTTTATGTTATGATCGACAACATCCATTTCGTTAACGCCATGTTTCAAGAATGTATCTAGGACGTTAACTGGCGATGACTGCATCAATAATATTCGGTTTTTAACACTTACATTAGTAGAAGAGATGGCTGGGCACACGGGATGGGGGGGGGTTTTCCGAGGCAGAGGGCAGATTATTGGTCCTCACTGTATCACTTGTATCTCTATCCACCACAGAGGCTTGCAGGGCTCTGTCAAACCCTCAAAGTCCATCCTCACTATCACTGTGACTTGGGCTGGCTGTAGGTGGCGGGGTGAAGAACCTGTAATGTTTTGTTGGACTGCCAGCATTGATGTGGTCAGGATACAGCTTAACATAGGGCTCCAGGATTGCAACTGATGGTTATTAGACACTTGTAGCTATGCTTTGACTGGGTCTTAAGGAGGAGCTCAATCTCAGCTGCCTCGATGATTTCCTTCACATCAGCATGTGTTAGTTTCGCTCTTGTTCTCTTGTAACACCTGGCTGCTCAATGACGCCATCATCTTCCAACATCTCGTCCAGAGTCACCTCAGGTTGCTGATTACCTCCAGATGTCCTCATGTGGTCTCGGAGAAGCCTGCAGCTCTAACACTTTGTGCAGCCTCTGCATTCTCCAATGCCACAGCAACAGACTGAGCCTCTCCAGCCACCACTTGCCTCGCCTCCCACCTGGGATACCTCCAACACTTGACGCCACCTGTGACGAATCGTTGCCACAGATAGCTGCCCCATGCCTCCACCAAGAAATCAACAGCTTTCTTCCGTTAAACAGTTTCCATAACTGCTTGACTCGCACTTCATGGTCAGCTAAATCTTGTTCGTGATCCTCGTCCTCGCTCTATCCGGTGCCACTCTGTAGTTCTGCAATTCATCCTTGGTGTTGGTGATCGTTCAGGAGCCAAAACTTCTTGGTGGAGAAAGCAGCCTTCCGTTGCAAATCAACTCCTGAACCATGGGCTGGATTAACGACGTAGTGTTAGGGAAGGAAGACCACGTTCGTTGGGAGCGATCAGCAATAGGCGAGAGTGTCTAGTGCGTTGCTGAGGAGCAACAAATGTTGAATGGCATTATTTTGCGGCAGAATTTCTTGACATCAGGAACAAGACAGTTATCAAACCAGGAGAGGGCAGACCAGAGAATATCCACTCTTCCCTGAGGCTAGCCAGTGGACATTTAACTTGCTCATGCCCATATTCTTGTATGAATGCGGCTTGCAGACTTTGTGGATGACAGACAACTTCAACAGCAGTGCCGGGCATTGGTGGTGAACAGTCACGGTGATCGCTCCTTCTGCATTTTGCCCCGACACTTGCTTCGCAGACTCAACTCGAGAAGGTCTTGGATGGCAATTTTTTCCAGTACAACCCTGATTCATCCATATTGAACAGCTGTGCGTCGGTGTACTGTACTTCCTCCATAATTTTCCGGAAATGGGAGGAAAATTCATGCCGGCAGCCGATCGGCACTTGCTCCTTCTCCGACTATCTCAATATTGGTGACCTTTTCGTCTTTTAAACCTTTCAGCCACAGCGGAAGCAGAACCCGGGCTCTGCAACTCCCATTTTATTGCCATTGATTTGTAGAGTTCTCGGCGTAGTCCTGCACTGCCAGTGTTACTCCCATGTTCCTTCTTGACTGACGAATAATGTAGCTTACCAACAAACCCTCGATCTTCAGCAGCACCTTATTGTGGCAGTATTTCACCAGCGAGGCACCTTCAGACTTTGTAATGCTCATGTGTTCTTTGATCTTGCGGCATCCTTCTTGATCGTGCGGATCGTCCCGATTCATTCACTCCATATTGTCTGGCCAGATCCCTCTGACCGTGCCTTTCTAACTCCTGGAGATCTTGTACTTAACCTCATAGCTTAAGGCAGCGTCGCACACCTTCCTGCGCTTGGGTGGCTTTGTAATGAGAGGGGGGTTTCAGTAGAAAGTATAGATAGAATAGAATGTTGTAGGATGTAAAGACAGGAAGTTTGGTAGCGTGGCGGTTAGTAATTCACATATATTCGTTCTTAAGGGACATCGTATAAACACCTCTTTCAATACTGCTATTTATTATTCGCTCAATATGACAGGCACATTAATGAAAATTATATCAGTTACTAGCACATACTTGGCATGGACACATTACTTTCGAACATCATATTTCGTTCCTAGACACACTTCATGAAACAAACATGAAATGAATACTCTTCCAACGTAAATAATTCACCCTATGCATAGCTCTGACAAAGACTCACTTGTGACCTGTGGGAGGCCCAGCAGTGCTGTTGAAGACAGTGTTGGACTCTGGGTGCAGGGGAGGAGTTTCCTCACCTCGACTAATGATGGCGTGACTCCGTCTTCCGTGAATAGTGTTGTGAAAGTTGTCTGAATATGAATTGGGAATGACTGTGACAGCTAGACTGGCCTGTGGGCCGGGACTGCAGGGCCTTTATGGGGAAGAACCAGCCCGTGATTGACCTTTACCAAGGTGTGGATGTAGGTCATGCCCTCGGTCAAGTACTTAGTGGCGGGGTCAGGTCCTGGGTCCTGACCCAGGGTGTGTCAACTGTATGTGGTTTATCCCGAGGCATGTACAGTACTCACTGTTATGTGTTATGTCGCTGGGCTGTAAGCTGTGGTCTAATAAACAATCATTACAGCTCGAGCTAGGTAGTTCAAGGTTTCTCAGGGGTGGTGGGGGTCCAGCGGGAGCCATTGTGTAGAAACAATAAAACAAAACAGGTTCCTGGGCACGGTGAGGCATCACGCGGGGACAATGAAGTCAGATAGGCCAAGGTTATCAGCCCTGGTGGCAGGTGCACACAAGGTTAAATAGACCAATCATGGCGGCAGAGAGGTGCGTGGGTGGTAAGGATATGGGCCAATCACAGTCCGCGGCGTCATCGACGCGAGTCTGGCGTTAGCGGTGGCGTCAGCGCCCAGCACCTTGCGCGCTTATAAATTGGAAAGTACGGCGTAAATATTGTCGCGTATAAAAATATCGCGTAAACCCAGACTATACTGTATATAATCATGTGCACATGAATGCACAAAAGAACAGCACTCGCCTACACATATTGGTAAGTGCAGCAGAAATTATTTTGTTTTTCATCACTACTCTCATTACAATTAAACAGCAGGACTCCTATTCAAAGAGCCAACCTTTCTAGGTGAATTCTGTAAGCAAAAATTTTTGAGGCCATATCCCTGGGGCCTACACTCATAAATAATGTACCTCCATATTATACTGAGGTATTCTGTTCCTGATAAAATCTGTGATACTGAAGTTGGTTCCAACAGTTCAGTACAAGTACATAATTTTCATATCTTCACACTGTCTTTCCTTTCCATTACATCACATCTCTCTAAACAAACTAAATTTTATGCTTTACCTTTAATTTGTCATACACCTTAAAAGTCACTTACTAATCTTTGGTTCGGCCAGTTTGGATCCACTGTAGCAGGTATTCATAGTAGGAGTCTCTCGTGCCCCCAAGGTGATGGTAGAGTGAGGCGCCACTGTCCTGTCTGAGCATTGATGAATATTGGACCAGACCCTCAGTCTTAGGCAGTTTGTGGATGTGTTCACTCTCTAAAATTAACTTTGTCCTGAAAGAACAAATTTACTTTAATAATAATAATGCTGTAATAATAATAAATATATTATACCTCGTTAATTCAACAAAGGGGGGGGGCCTCTGGGTCCTCCAATTACTGAAAATACAAAATTAACCAAGTTCAGAATAGTTTACATTGACATAAAATAATATATCAGACAGTGATCCTCGTTAACGAATCGGTTAACAAATTTCGGTAAACCAAATACCTTCCATAAGATTCTTCACTTCGCTAACGTAAAAAATTTTGGTTAACGACTTACTTAATTTTTCCCAACATGATTTTACCTGCTTTTGCCGCTCACCAGCTGTAGTGTTAGTCCTAATACAGTAATCGGTTTTAGGGCTTAAATTCGCTACAATTTTGAGTAAATATCAAGAAGGTTGTACTATTCAATAATTTTCCAAGTCTTATATTAAAGTTTTTAGTCATTTTAACAATTATTTAACATAATTGAAGTACAAGGAACTAGTTTTAGTGTAGCAACAGGCCACTTGACTCACCCAAATGGCTTCAGTGTGTGTCCCTGCTCAGTGGAGGAAGCTCCTGCTTGAGACTCCTTGAACATATACTATTTTACGTTTTACAGTACAATTACTGTATTGGTCATTCTGAAGTTTATTTACATATTGACAATATATAATGCAGTGCAGTGTTGATTTAAAGAAAATAATCTTGAATTACACCAAGTGAACTAAAATTTTTGGGTGAAATGGCATAGAGTGATTCTCTTCCACCCCCCACTTACCCCATCATCATCATCAACTAGAGTCTCTACATACACACCTCAAAGTAAGTGTACTTTACTGCATATATTTTTACTTTGTATGTAATTTTCTGTGAGCTGGAAACATTACCAAAATCCCATTGGAACAATGGGATATATATATATATATATATACAGTGACCTCTCGTTTAACGAATCTCGGTTAATCTAAATTTCGTTAACGAACTGCCTTCCATAAGATCTTCAATTCGTTAACTAACAAAACGTTAACTAATATCTTAACAACCGACCAACATGTTTTCGCTTGCACTGACCGGGCAACCAGCTTTAGTATCAGTCCGCCACATTAATCGGTTCTAGGGCTTAAATTCCTTACTATTTTAGTAAATATCAAGAAGTTTATACTATTCAATAATTTTAAAAGTTTAATATTCAATTTTTAGTGATTTTAACAATTATTGAACATAATTGCTGCAAAGTGACTAGTTTAATGCGCGCATCCAGCCTCATAACACAGCAAACAGGCGTTAGTCTCTCTGTTTTCACTGGAGGTAACATCTTGCTGAGACTCTCTTCAACTAAATGCTTTTTTTCTGTGTTTCCAAGCAAATTATTGGTCATTTTGAAATATATTTTACATATTGACAATATATAATGCAGTGCAGTGTTGATTTAAAGAAAATAATCTTGAATTACACGGGAGAGCTAAAATTTTATTGGTGAATGTATACCATGGGGTGACTTCTCTTCCACCCCAATGCCTTCTCTTCTTCCTTCTCCTCCACCCCCATTCTAAATCCCATCATCATCATCATCATCATCATCCAGGAGCCTTCTACATACACACCTCAAAGTAAGTGAACTTTTCACCATTTTGTTGAATTTAGAAATTTTCGGTGAGCTGGAACCACTACTCAAAAACCCATTGAAACAATGGTTTCGTTAACGAACTTTTCGTTACAATCTAACTAACCTTCTGGAACGGATTGAGTTCGTTAACCGAGGGTTACTGTATATATATATATATATATATATATATATATATATATATATATATATATATTATATATATATATATATATATATATATATATATATATATATATATATATATATATATATATATATATATATATATATATATATATATATATATATATATATATATATATATATATATATATATATATATATATATATATATATATATATATATGTGATGATAACCACAAGGAAAGACAATATTGACTAAATTCACTAGATAACGTGACGCTCAAGTGTTAATAATCTATAAGAATACGATGCATGACGTGATCAAAGCAGCTCTAGGGCCATTTAGGTTCGCTAGGTTCCATTATTTGAATGTATTTTTTTTTTCTCAATTCTAAATTTTAATTGTTTATTCTGATAGAGGAAGGGGATCCTAGTGCTGTCACTTGGTACCTCTGTACCACAACACCAGAAGCTAAATCTGGGCCAGTGTCACAAGTATATACAGCACAGTACAGTCATCCCTTGCTATCACGCATAATTGGGACCCCCAACATAATCTAAAGTACAGAACCTATGGGATTTATTCAAATTGGTTCCAGGCACCCAAGACCCAACCCCAAGTTTCCCATTTTACGGCACCATTTATACCACTAAATATATATATAATGTTATGGTTATCATAAACACACATAGGCATGGCTAGGTTTATTACAAAGTGATGAAAAAGGGTACGCTTAATACTGTAGTCTTACAAAACATGTAGCTATGCTTTTATTTGTCCTCCATCACACGAGTCCGCTTTCTCACATAAGGACGCTTCTGAGAGTCCTCCGCTGCTTTCTCTTAATCTTAGAGTGCACTAGAGACTTGTTATTTTAGTAATGCCACAGAATTTGAAATTGTAACCCCAATTGCAACTGGGGCCAGTAAATTGTTGAGGCAACTAGATATGTCTGATTACAGCATAATATAAAATGTGGCTACTGAAACCTTACAGTTGGTAAACCTTGGATGGTGAAGGGTTATTGTACAGTACTATATGTATCCTTTATTCATATAACATATAAATAATACAAAAATATTCAGAACAAAAATTTAGAATATATTTTCCTTGTTTTTTAAAAATAATACATTTTTTGACAAACAAGACAAAAGTCTATTCAAAATTAAATGAGGCTAACAATTCCATTTTGTAGTTTTGATTGGAAACGAAGATTTCCTACTTGTGCACTTCTACAGACCTGACCAGACAATGTAGTCTACTGCAGGAGCATGTCAAGTACCTAGGCTAGGACTAGTTGGCCAGCATAGGGTGCAATAATAAAGATATTACAGGTCACTTGGTAATTCCCTTTTAGCTGTCAATGAAGCAATAGAGGATTGCTTTATTTTTTGTACTGGATGCATATAAGGTAAGAAATTGTTTTTCATTGTACTGTAGATATTTTTCTTTTTTCCCTAAAATATATTGCATATCTGGACAAGGTAGGCATCTATTGTATTCTCACCTCATACAATGGATTCCCCAGACACGAGACAGATCACGGAACTCTAACTGAATAGTTGTGACTTCTGGAAGTCGAAGAGTCTGGCCTCTACTTGCTTGGAGGTTTCCTCGAGAGTAAAGATTAACATCAGATAAGGCACCTGAACCACTGTTGAATCCAGTAAACTAGTCGATTCTCCCAGGTCTACCTGAAAGACAGTTATGTAAATTACAAAATATAAATGTGATTTCATTTAATGAAGAACTGATCCTGAAAAATCCATTTTATGCCAGCTGCCAGAACATAACAACACTCTGAGTGTAATATACAGAGAGAATGAAGAACCTTGCTGGGGTTTTGATGAATAAGACGTAGAATGGCGATTATTCGCAGGCGCTTGTGTGAAGTCTATAAACAGTTGGCTGGCCTATGGAACCTGGGAAAGGGGTTGCCAGTGACACCATTCACTCTGATGGGTAGCTGTTCATTATACATCAGCCAAAGGTAGAAAGACATTTCATTTTCTCACGGAAACATGCTAAGCCATAGGCGACCCAGGACACAGAACAGGACTTAAAACATTAGTGGCTGCAAATTCAATCTAATCAATTAGTATTCTCTATTGCAACTATTGATCATTTAAGATAAGAGAGGCTGAAGGAGCATGTTAAGTTCAGGGTAGCCATTTTGGGTTTTCCCCAAGCAGTGATCTTTTCAGTCCCAGTAGCCTTCACATTTTCCTATGGGAGGAGGGACAGTGAGTTGAGCCACTTAGTTTTGAGCTCAGCCAAATATTAGATTTTAGAATCAATTCTTCAATTGGCAGCTGCCTGTCAGTAGGCAGCTCAAGAATTCTGAAGCCATCCAGAATGAAGGGATTAGATGGAACCAAATAGTCCAGGTGCTGCTGAAGTTAACCTTAATTTACACTTCTAGTGCATCAAATTGCCAAGCGTTTCACTAACTCAGATTAATATCAGAACACCAAAAAGTGTTCTGACTTAACCACATTAAATTCAAATTGAGAGTTTTCTGTCTACTACAACACCACCCTCTTGTAAGGGGGAGGTGTTACATGTAACACAGAAGTTTACAATGTCTCTCTTAGCACACAGTCATCTCATCCAACAGGCATTGAGAGTATTAGTAAGGTTTTGTGTAGAGGTAGGCAAATAGTTTGGGGCAAGTGGAGACACAGAAGAATAGAAAATTGGGTTAAGAGATGCATGAGTTGAATGGGAGGGAGGAGAACCAGGCACACCATGAATGACATGGAGAGAAGTTGTGAGAAATGGCTTAAAAATAAGAACCTAATGAAAGAGGCCGTAAGATAGCAGGCAATCATAGTCAGCCCATGCAAGTGAAAATATGACCGTGAAAAATGTTGATGATAACGATGATGTTAATGTTTTTTATTACCGCACTGTCTGTATATAGTACAGTATTTCATTTTCAGTCTAATGAAATATTGGATACTGTCAAAAATTTATAAAACTCTTTAACTCTAGAACTTCCAAAAACCTTCCATAATGTGGATATTCGCGACCAAAAACTCATTCAGTACTTTTTCAGATAATGTTAATACAATACCATTACTCGAGCTCATAACTTGAGGGTTAACTAATCTGCCTTTTATCATACATCGCATACACTAAAAGGAAGCCCAATATCAAAACGGCTGAATCCAAATATGAAGTGGAACAAATCAGCAGATTGTACCTACATACAGTACCTGGGTGTTACTACCACCACAGAATAATGAAATACAATATTGTAAATGCATGACAAACTGCCAGAGTAAGATGGGTGGTGAAGTAATGAACAAGTCTGAACCATTACATACTGACATCAGTAGAGTACTGTAGTGTACAAACACAGTAAAATGAATCAAGATTTGAAAAATCTACACTATAAGTCTAATCCATATATCATTGTAACTTAAGCAGCTTTATCTAGGAAAATTTGTTCTTGGTGAGGTGATATGAGTAGACCACCCAACACCCGAATGGTGGTCTCAAAACAGGTTGACATCTTGGTTCAAGTTGAAGTGAAGTTGAGTTGACACTCCACCCTGGGCCTCACTGAACTCTGGACAAAGAAATCCATACCATAATAGTACAGCTCTTCATTAATATTAATTCAAAACTTACTGTTCACTTTTTCAAAATATCCTTCATTAATATTAACAATATGAAGATCTAATTCACAACACCTCATTCTTCCATTAATAAACACTGTCTGACCAGCAGTAATCATATAATTTTGGATTCACCAACATCAATAGTGCTTTTTTGTTCTTTTAATATTCAAAATATCCAAAAACTCAAGAGACAAACTTGCAGACCACTACTGTACTGTCGGTTAATTTTTGTATCCAAAGGTAGACTTGCAGACCACTACTGTCATACTTCTTACTGGGTATCCAAAGGTAGACTTGCAGACCACTATCATCATAGCTTACTGTATCCAAAGGTAGACTTGCAGACCAATAATGTCATAGTTTACTGTATCCAAAGGTAGACTTGCAGACCACTACTGTCATACTTTACTGTATCCAAAGGTAGAATTTTGCAGACCAATTACTGTCATAGTTTATTTGTATCCAAAGGTAGACTTGCAGACCATTTATCAAGGTCATAATTTCTTTTGTATCCAAAGGTAGACTTGCAGACCACTCACTGTCATACTTTTTACTGTATCCAAAGGTAGACTTGGGTGACCACTACTGTCAGGTTTACTTGCATCCAAAGGCAGACTTGCAGACCACTACTGGTTACATTCTTACTGTATCCAAAGGTAGACTTGCAGACCATTACTGTCATACTTTACTGTATCCAAAGTTGCAGACTTGCAGACCACTACTGCCTTCATATTTCATTGCATCCAAAGGTAGACTTAGACTACTACTGTCATACTTACTGTATCCAAAGGTAGACTTGCAGACCACTACTGTCATACTTTTACTGTATCCAAAGGTAGACTTTGGCAGACCACTACTGTCATATTTTACTGTATCCAAAGGTAGACTTGCAGACCACTACTGTCATAGTTTACTGTATCCAAAGGTAGACTTGCAGACCACTACTGTCATAATTTTTGTATCCAAAAGGTAGACTTGCAGACCACTACTGTCATATTCTTACTGTATCCAAAGGTAGACTTGGTAGACCACTACTGTCATAGTTTACTGTATCCAAAGGTAGACTTCATACCGTCATACTTACTGTATCCAAAGGTAGATCCAGACCACTACTGTCATAATTTTTTGTATCCAAAGGTAGACTTGCAGACCACTACTGTCATACTTTACTGTATCCAAAGGTAGACTTGCAGACCACTACTGTCATACTTTACTGTATCCAAAGGTAGACTTGCAGACCACTACTGTCATACTTTACTGTATCCAAAGGTAGACTTGCAGACCACTACTGTCATACTTTACTGTATCCAAAGGTAGACTTGCAGACCACTACTGTCATAGTTTACTGTATCCAAAGGTAGACTTGCAGACCACTACTGTCATAGTTTACTGTATCCAAAGGTAGACTTGCAGACCACTACTGTTTTTGTATCCAAAGGTAGACTTGCATACCACTACTGTCATACTTTACTGTATCCAAAGGTAGACTTGCAGACCACTACTGTCATACTTTACTGTATCAAAGGTAGACTTGCAGACCACTACTGTCATACTTACTGTATCCAAAGGTAGACTTGCAGACCACTACTGTCATACTTTACTGTATCCAAAGGTAGACTATGGTAGACTTTACTGTCATACTTTACTGTGGTAGACTTGCAGACCACTACTGTCATAGTTTACTGTATCCAAAGGTAGACTTGCAGACCACTACTGTCATACTTTACTGTATCCAAAGGTAGACTTGCAGACCACTACTGTCATAGTTTACTGTATCCAAAGGTAGACTTGCAGACCACTACTGTCATAGTTTACTGTATCCAAAGGTAGACTTGCAGACCACTACTGTCATAGTTTACTGTATCCAAAGGTAGACTTGCAGACCACTACTGTCATACTTTACTGTATCCAAAGGTAGACTTGCAGACCACTACTGTCATACTTTACTGTATCCAAAGGTAGACTTGCTACTGTCATACTGTATCCAAAGGTAGACTTGCAGACCACTACTGTCATACTTTACTGTATCCAAAGGTAGACTTGCAGACCACTACTGTCATACTTTACTGTATCCAAAGGTAGACTTGCAGACCACTACTGTCATAGTTTACTGTATCCAAAGGTAGACTTGCAGACCACTACTGTCATACTTTACTGTATCCAAAGGTAGACTTGCAGACCACTACTGTCATACTTTACTGTATCCAAAGGTAGACTTGCAGACCACTACTGTCATACTTTACTGTATCCAAAGGTAGACTTGCAGACCACTACTGTCATACTTTACTGTATCCAAAGGTAGACTTGCAGACCACTACTGTCATAATTTACTGTATCCAAAGGTGTCCCATGACGTGTGTCATGGAACACATGTCATGGGATGCTATCTGAGGAACTCTGCTACACCTTTACCACATGCTAATTATATCCAAACTGAGACTAGACTCAATGCACTGAACTCTATTCATCATGCCGGGGTGCGCCTGGTGACCACACCAGTCACCAGGTGCTAGTTGATGCTGATGAGCCACCTCTTTATCTTTGACATCATTATCTCCAGGTCCAGAGTTAGTTTCGCCTCCACCGTCTTCCACAGTCTGTAACCAACACTTGTGTAGTTGACGAGACCATGTCCCCACTCTACACTCAGCATCCAGGCCTCCCATGACCTTTTGGCTTCAGGGTAAAGGAGGTTGTGAAAATTCCTTGTCTTCCTCCTGTTCAGATATGCCCCATGCAGTTCCCTAGTGCAGCTCAGTGGATTCTTCCTGAAGTTCAGTTTGTCAGCATTTTAACGAAGGAAAGTACCCCCTCCCTCCCTGTGTGGTCCATTCTCTTTTTTTAGAGCATGCCTCCTCTCACAGAACGACTGTCCCTGGATGCACCGATGGCCCTAAGTCAGATGCAGGGGGTGGGTTTTGGGATGGCCTTATCCGATTACAGGTCGGGACGGTAGTCTCCCCACATTGGCATCTATTTTTACTGCAGAACTTTTGGAAATTTTACTTGCCCTCAAGATTATTTTTATCCAACTTCATACTTTTTTAAATTGTTTTTGTGATTCTCACAGTGCTCTTCAGGCTTAGCTAATGTCTCATCGGCACATCTCTTAGTTATAGATATTTTACAGTGGCTATTTCTCATTCACTGTTGGGGCCGGAAAGTTAGCTTTTGGTGGGTTCTGGCCCATGTGGGGAAGAAGGGGAATGAGCATGCTGATGCTGTGGTGAAAGCAGCTGCTTCTCGCTCAATTGCAAGTCGTTCCTCTCTACCTGCTTCTGATATGAAGCCAGTAATAAGAAGTCATCCGCTCGAGTTGGAAATACAGGTGGAATGCTGTTGGAGCAAACAAGCTCCATGACATCCACCCTGCATTGGGTGCCTGGGGATATCATGCAGCCGAGAGACTGCTTTGGCCCGCCTCCACATATGCCCCCCCCCCACCATTGAGATGACTGCCTGGTCCCACTGAATGCTCTATACCTCCTGGTGGAGTGCCCCAGTCTCAGAGGTCTTCATTGTAAGCACCTCTCCCAGTGTCAGGGGAGGGGGAGATGGGTCTTACCATCTCTTTTGTGCTGGGAGGAGGAGTGGGTAACATAGGAGGGAACGTCCTCTCCTTTGTGGAGGAAGCCAGCCTTCTACACAAGCTTTGGGTTTTATGAAAGTTCTATGTTATTCATTGAGTTTTTATTTTGCATTATTTTATTTTAGTCTTTTAAGCCTTGATTTTAATTCGGCGACATATGACCTAAGCGGTTGTCGCCAGGGATGAAATTATCACTATCTATCAATCACTCAATTCCCGTTAGCTGGAAATAATGGTGCAGAGCACTTCCGGGAATGAGAGATTTCCAGGTAACAAGCCTATTTATCCCCGGAATTTTTTCTGGTTACTGGGAAAAGTTTCTGAGTCTGAACTACGTATCTTGCACACACAGACACTGGTCCACATCCCCAGAATGTTTCTGGGTGCTGGGGAAAGTTTTCCAAGAGTCTAAACTTCCAGAGACTGTAAAAGCAGTTATAATTAAGTAAGAAACTCAATTTCTTCACTAGAATAATCCTCAATAGTTTATCTAAAGGTTTGGTTAAATAAATTAAAAAAACTAAGAATCTAAATAATACAGACGTGCAATGCGCCTTGTGAATGACGATGTGTTACAACAAAAACTAGTATTTTCCACTCCCATGGAGCTGTGGGTAATTAGTGGGTCTCATGTAACTGACCTGACCTAACGACCAATGTCAGGTGGGGGTAGGGTGGGGAATTAGCGGTCTCATATTACTGACCTTCTGATGCGATGTCAGGGGGATTAGTGGGTCTTATGACCTGATAATTTCATGAATAAATCCAAAAGCGAAGGTGCTCCAGTTTTCCCACTTACTAAATGTACAGTATAGTATACGTAGCTGTACAGTATACGTAGCTGTACAGTATAGTATATGTAGTTACACAGACTAAAGTTAGGAGAATATAATTTGTATTGCTGGAATCCTTGCAAGACAGCGAATAATTTGAATATAAACGTCATATACTTTGCACGAGATACAAAAATTTGCTCTGTAATAAAATTCTTAAATTACAGTGGTCCCTCGGTTAACGAGCACAATTCGTTCCAAAAGGTTGCTCGTTAACCGAAACCATTGCTTCAATGGGTTTTTGGGTCATTGGTTCCAGCTCACTGAAAATTACATACAAACTAAAAATAAATGCAGTAAAGTACACTTACTTTGAGGTGTGCATGTAGAAGGGTCCTGGTTGATGATGATGATGATGATGGGAATTAGAATGGAGGAGAAGGGAGAAGAGAAGGCATTGGGGTGGAAGAGAAGTCACCCCATGCCACCATTTCACCCATAAAATTTGGTTCGCTTGGTGTAATTCAAGATTATTTTCTTTAAATCAACACTGCACTGCTCTATATATTATCAATATGTAAAATAT